GGGATTGACCTCCTTTGTGCTGCCACCTCACCATCAACTGCTAGAGTCCAGTCCATGCTCACCAGCTTCCTTGCTGCCAACCGCTCAGGATTTCAACAATGCTGCAATGCTGCTGACCGCTACAGTTCCGCCTGGCTCACCAGATGCCTTGGCGATAAAGAGATTTTACAAGAGGATTTAAACTAAAAGTTTGGTCTGAAGGATGGGGTTATCAGGGACTGGTCATGAGAGCTTTGGAATAGTTGAGCCTAGACGTGACAAAGGCACAGATGATGATTTCAGCAGCAGGTACTCTTTGCATAAGCCAGCACTTAGTGTTGGGACGTTGAAGAAGATTAAAAGGTCACAATTGCAGATTGTGTCTGTGAAATTTTGATGAGAGCTGCTTCAGTACTGTACCAGGAATGTTAATCTGGTTGTAGAAATTCTTGTGTATAATTGTAGGAAAGATGGACACAGCGTAGGAAGTGACAAGTTCAAGGACTTTGTTGCACAATGGTAAGTTTCAGGTAGGCCAATAGTTCTCTTGTACAGAATAGACATTTGAGTGTTCCTTTTCATGAGGCATGAAGGATAGATTTGGTTTTGAAAGGGAGATCTGTATCTTTAACACAAGGAATCATTTGAACTGTCAGCTAACATCGGGTTCAAATAGGGAAATTTGATATTAATGGATTTAAGGGAACCGGAAGTCAGTCTTGCTAAGAAAAGGCATGGGATTGAAATAAGATAAACTGGAGGAAGACCGGTTCAAGATTAAACCACTATTTAAAATAAAAGTTGGGAAGACTTACTAACTTTTAAAAGGCATGTGGATGTTCATTCAAGGCTATGGACCATGTGCTGGAAAGTAAGATTAGTGTGGATAGGTTGGCACAGACTCGATGGGCAGAATGGTTTTTTCTGTGCCTATATGACTTAGACCTATAAGTGCTGCATCCATGTCAATCCATGAAAATAAATGCCACTTTCTCATACATGAAAATACTGACCTGGAAGTCCATATTGCTTCTGTTTGCTAGTATAAGTTTGTTTTTTTGTATAGTGTGACTTGGAATTAAGCATTTCCAATGACCTTTAAGTATATAACATTATCTATGTCCGAGTGTGATGGGTCAATTGTTAATATTGTTTCAGAGCTGATGTATTATAATTTAATTGTAGTTATCAGAAATTCCCTGACTTCGTATTCTAGTGCAACCTCAATTGATCGGTGAAATTATTACTCAATATCATTTAAAATGCTGTGTTTTTGTCAACTTTGCCTTTACACTGATGGAATTCAAAAATCATTTTTTGCAGAAAAAGTGTATGGCTTATTTACCTTGTTTGGTTTCTACACTTCTACACTCAAGAATCACTAGGGATTGTCTTTTTGTGTAGGTTTTGTTTGCCTGCAATTTTCCTGTTGTAACATGTTTCTCCTGAAGGGATCGTTGGAATAAAGTCCCAAGAAGGATTAATGTCTCACTAATGGCAGTGCCCAGATGGTAATCTAATCCTGAAGCTCATGGTGCCTGCCCCATCCCCGGGTATCCACTAAAGAAGGGTCTCTGTACTCGAAACATTAATTCTGCTTTCTCTTCAAAGATGCTGCCAGACCTGTTGAATTTCTCCTGCAATTTTGATTTATTGTCACACATATCTACTGGGGCTTCTTGCCTGCCCCTCAGTGGCAATGCTAGTTCTTCCAACCTCTGCATAATCACTGGCTCTCACCTTACCCCTCCCCACACCCTGCCAGTTGCTGTTACTGGTATATTGTAAGCAAAATTGTTGTGTTATCAAAAATTCTTGCCCACATTGCATAGTTCAGCTGCTTGAAGTAGCAGCAACAGGTAGGAATTGGTAAGACATACAAAGTATGTTATAAGGAAATGCTCACAACCACAGTGAGGGCTGCATTGTGCGGATCTGAAATAGAATGGAAGGGAGGGAGTCATCTATGTAAATTTAAAACAAGCCAAGAAAATTAAAGACTTGTTATGGTGATCCCTGAAAGCCCTAAACTTCCCCTTTGTGCTTTGTAACATCAATAACACAAAAATGTCAAAAATGACTTTTAGAAATGGAAATAGAAAAGGAATATTGGAATATTTGAGAATTGATGAAAACTCGGTTCATGGGTGAGTTTGAGGATGGTGTTCAGCGGTGAATGGATTTAGAGTGGGGTTGAGGCAACAAAGGGTCTGCATCACTGTGACACGGGAGAGAGGTTGGAAACACAAGGGCTAGGGTGGGTGGAGAAACAACACATCACCAGCATGAAAATTGGAAGGGACGATAAGCACGTCACTTTGAACTGGAGTGCAAGAGGGAGAACACCTCCATTTTGAAGTAAAGCATGAGAAGAAAACTGTCATCCTTGACTGGAGATTCAGGGTGAAGCTGCATGAGAGAGAGGAGAATAGGTGGGGAACTGGTGTGAAAGCATCAATAAGATGTGAACAGATTGAGAAACTCGGGGCCATTCCAATTAATTTTGTCATTACAGCAGTTCGTAAAAATCCGCATGCTACAATCAATGTGATATACAATGCACATAAACAAGTTAGACAGCCTATTCTCTGTAATGTCCCCACTGACATACTTATTGTTTGATCTAAAGAGCCCCATTGTATCAAATCAATCAAAACTCCTTTCTTTGTTGATGGACATGGGCCTGAACACGTAGTAACATTCAGAATGGAGAGTCACTGCTTATACTGCTTACCGGCTCCTCGTGACTAGGTTATTGACAGTATTCTAGGAGCAGAGATGCGGAGACCATTGAGTGAAAACAACCGATGCTTTTGATTTTGTTTTTGTTTAAAAATTTCTTTGATCCTTTGTTTTGTCAACACATTAATTCATAAAGTCATTTTGCTATTGTCAATGTCAAGTCATGGAAAACATTGGTACTCTGTTAAATGCGAAGGAAATTCATTTCTCTAAGGATAATACTTTAGTGCTGACACCTGCAGTTATTCTTTCAAAATAAGAACTATGTTAGTGATCTGTGAAGTGCTGGAGAAATATTGCCAGTACTAACGTTTGGGTTGTGAACTTTGAAATGAAACATTTGGAATCTTCATATTATGTAATGTTTCAGGCAAGTTTTGTTCAGAATTGCATAATATAATTTCCTGAAATAATATCAGCAATACAATTGCATTAATGGACAGAGCCTTGCAATCTGGCAAAAATCCTTTCAGTTACTTGGGTATTAGTAGGAGTGATAGATGTGAATGTGTGCTTTATTGTTACAGTATGTAGGGAAAAAGGGTAACGGAGTTCCTAATTATTCAATAATTATGATTCAATTTGTGCTAATGTTACAAACAATTGTAAACCAAATAGAAACATCTGCAATTTTACTTCTGTTATCTTGGTTTTTTAAAAAAAAAGTAGTCCCTTGGTCTTTGCTTTTAAAATTTTGGCTCTCGTAATGCTGCTCAGGATCAGTGCTGAAAGAGAACAAAGTCTCTACTTGCATAGTATGGAGTCTAGTGTTACAGCAAAGGCAGAAAATAGCTAGTTATCCACAGCTCAATCCATTGTTACAAGTTCATGCTATCACTTTGACATTTAGAACAGGCCTTGGTGTCTTCATGAATTCCTCTTCGTATTACCAGTGGCTGTTGATCTGCCAGTCTCTAGGCACAGACCGTTTCACAAACCATAACATTTTTGTGAGTGATTGATTTGTATTATGTGTCTCAGGCATCAGAAGAATCTTGGGATGTAGCTTGTATGAACTGTAATACAATCCTTTGCTGAGAGTTTGGTTACAGTTCTTCATAGACCTGTTGGCGATACTCAATCCATTCGGATTTGGGAATGGGGCTTATCTGATACTTTCCAAAAAAACCTTCATTTTTTCTATTCCCATGCGAAATAACGCAACACATCTGGTAACACTGTAGGAGTATTGTCCTTGGGTTACAGCAGCAGCTCATATTGCTACAATATTTCCTCAAGGATCTAGTTACTCAAAGGGCAACATGACTGATTAAGAACCATGTTTACTCTGGACTACAAACTTAAACCTTCTGGATTCAAGGGAGAAAAATGTTTTTTTAAATATAAAGTAACAGTGCCGAGTTGTTGAAAATGGTATTGGTTGATATGGAATTGTTGCATAATTAATAGTCCTGCTTTTAATTATAATGCTTTTTTGTTTTGCAGTGTGCTGTAAAACCTATGTTATTGAACAGTGCATGTTGCTGGTAGATGAGATATATTTTAATTTGTAGAAATGCTGCAAATCCTGCTTTCTATGCAATAGGTCAAGAGAGTAAAAGTCGCTTGGAAACCACCTGCACGTGCTGTGACATAAATACCTACTCTGACACTCTCAAAAACAAAAACAAATTTCACTTTAAGACCCCTTTTCAAATGGAAACTTCATGTAAGTGCATCAAGGGATAAAACTGAGAATGAAAGCAACATGCAAGTGACCTGCTTCATTCAGAATTCCAACTGACTCTGGATTGATGTGGCTAAAATTGAGCTCCTTAAAATCTGTGCCACTAATAAAGGTGGTTGACTCCAGTTTTTGTCAGATTTGTGTAACTGATAGTACTTTAGTACTGAAGTTAACTGGAATAGAATGCTAATTAGATCACTCACAATTTAAGAAGATGACTTTGGTTAAGATTATCACTTTGTATGTTTCAGTTCAGTTCAGTTCAGTTTTATCCACACAATTTATGAAATAGTAGAGAAAGAATTAAATTATGACCTCCCATGATTTTAGAATGTGATTTCAGTCAAGCATGGTGGTCTCTTATCAGGTTTTCATTGTTTGAAAGATTGACAATTTCTACTCAGTGTGACTTGGGAGACTTGACTGCTAACCCTTTGAAACAAAAGGAAATAAGATTATGATTGCTACTGGAAGTGCTGTTGCACTGTAGAATCTGATTGCCATTTATAAATAGGTGAGACTGTATAGTGTTTCTGTTGGCAAGAGAGGCTGTCCTCACAATCCTGAATGACGTCTTTATTTCTTTGTGCAGGTTGTGGAGCTTGTATCAAGTGCAATTGGAGACTTGGTTCAAGGCGTATATTACGAAAATGCTAGAACTGATGAGGTAATATAATCGTTTTCTTGAGTTTCCTTTGTAAAAGCATGAACTATTTGAGGAAAGTTGTGCGTATATAGGGTGTTAAAAATAAATCTGCACACTCTACATGATCAATGAATAAAAGGACAGTATACATTAAAGGGAAGTATTTATTTGTTCTAGTTCTGAGAAGGCAAGCACTTTTGGACCAACTGGGTAAAAATCTATTAGCACCAATTTCACTAGACCTAGCAATGGAATTATCACAACTCTGGGGCAGAAATTTCTGCAAATAATGGAAATCTTGAGTTAAACATAGAAAATGTTGAGAATGTTGAAAATATTTTACAATCCTTGTTGTACTATTATATTTTCCTTTGCGCTATGATTGAGGTTGGGTGGGGGGGAATGCTGGGGGAAACCGGGAAGTCAGTTAGGACGCTGTCTTTTTGATCTCTTGAACCTGGATTCCACTCCACGCTGGATTGTTTGGAAAAGAACCACAACTGAGACTAAAAGCTGGCAGCTGTCAGTGAAAATAAAGTCAGAAATGTTTTCCTGAAGTTGACCTTAAGTACCAACACTTTGACTCTCCAGCATGCTGTGCCTAACCTTGGACCATTGATTACTGACAAATATCGACGAGTATTCCCTTTGCTGCTCACAGTGTCTCTCTTCTTTCTTCAGGATATTACTGCTGGAACTTTAATCAGCAATTGAATCCATGTTTAATCACTTAACTGCCAATATGGTAGAAATTAAACTCAATGGAATCCTGATCTTTCTCTCACCCATTGTTTACTCAGTTCCTACGTTTTAAACAGTTGGTCAGTTAGAGGTGGGTGTGAGTATTGGATGTTGGGTGAAATGGGCAAGGCCTATCATCAATGCGTATGAATGTAATATAGTTGTGAGCACAGAAATTATTCCTCCCAGTGTGGCTATCAAATGCTTCCAAATTCGGTACATGAAAGCTCCCTACTCAACAAACTTGCCTTTAATCAATCATTAAAACAAGTGCCAAAGTCTCAATAGAGCCACGCCATACTGTAAAATCAACATAATTCAGACATTAATTATCAGGCTGAGGAGACAGCAAGAACTGCAGGTGCTGGAGTCAGAGACAACACAGTGTGGAGCTGGAGGAGCACAGCAGGCCGGGCAGCATCAGAGAAGAAGGAAAGTCGATGTTTCAGGTCGGGAGCCCTTCTTCAGAAATGGGGGAGGGGGAAGGGAGCTGGGAAATAAATAGAGGGAGGAGGGGTGGGGCTGGGGAAACGTAGGTGGGCCGGTGACAGGTGGATGCAGGTAGGGGGTAGTGGCGATTGGTCTGTGGAAAAGGTAGGGTGGATAGGTGGGAGAGAAGATGGACAGATTGCGTCAGGCCAAGGAGACGGGGATGAGAGGGATGTTTGGACATGGGATGAGGCCGGGGGTGGGGAGATTTTAAAACTGGTGAATTCTATGTTCGGGCCAAAAGGGCTGTAGGCTTCCAAGGAGGAATATGAGGTGTTGCTCCTCCGGTTTGCATGTGGCGTCATTGTGGCAATGGAGGAGGCCCAGGATGGACATGTCACCCAGGGAGTGGATGGGGAGGTAAAACGGTTAGTGACTGGAAGATGTCATCGATTATCATGTATAGAGCGCAGATGATCCACGAAACGGTCTCTGAGTCTGCACTTGGTCTCCTTGAAGTAGGAGGACGTCTGGGATGTCCGGGAGTGGAATGCTCCATATTGGGAGCAGAGGCGGAGGAATTGGGAGTAGGGGATCGCATCCTTGCAGGAAAGTGGGTGAGAGGAGGTATAGTCTAGGTAGCTGTGGGAGTCAATGGGCTTGAAATAGATGTCAGTTTCGAGGTGGTCACCAGAGATGGAGACAGAGAAGTCCAGGAAGGAGAGAGAGGTATCAGAGATGGTCCAGGTGAACTTGAGGTTGGGGTGGAAGGTGTTAGTAAAGTTGATGAACTGTTCAAGCTTCTCATGGGAGCACGAGGCAGCACCAATACAATCATCAATGTAATGGAGGAAGAGGTGAGGGATAGTGCTGGTGTAACCGTGGAAAAGAGACTGTTCCAAATATTCTACAAAGAGGCAGGCATAGCTTGCACCTCTTATTTCAAGGACCACAGCGTCCTCCCTCCAGTGATCAAAAATGCCCTCAACCACATCTCTTGCATTTCCCGCACTTCTTCCCTCAAATCGCCTCCCCCCAACAAAAATAAGGACAGAATCCCCCTTGTCCTCACATACCACACCACCAACCTCCACATCCAGCATATCATTCTCCGCCACAACCGCCACCTACAATCCAACCCCACGACCAAAGAGATATTTCCCTCCCCACCCCTATCTGTCTTTTGTAGTGATCGCTCCGCGACTCCCTCATGCGTTCCACTCTCCCCACTAACCCCATCACCCCCGGCACCTTTCCCTGCAACCGCAGGAAGTGCTACACCTGCCCCTACACCACCTCCCCACCTCCATCCAAGGCCCAAAGCAAACCTTTCATATCCGATAGGGGTTCCATCTCCAACTTGGTCTACTGTGTCCGTTCCTTCCGATGTGGCCTCTTCTGCGTCAGTGAGGCTAAGCGCAGACTGGGGGACCATTTTGTGGAGCTTCTGTGCTTTGTACTCAATAATCGGCAACATCTTCCGGTCACGAACCATTTTGCCTCCCCCTCCCACTCCCTGGGTGACATGTCCGTCCTGGGCCTCCTCCAGCGTCACAATGACACCACCCATAAACTGGAGGAGCAACACCTCATATTCCGCCTTGGTAGCCTGCAGCCTGATGGCCTGAACATAGAATTCACCAGTTTTAAAATCTCCCCTCCCCTGGCCTCGTCCCATGTCCAAACCTCCCCCTCATCCCCACCTCCTTGGCCTGACGCAACCTGTTCATCTTCTTCCCCACAAAGATATGTTTTGGAGCATCACAAACCTCTGCCTCACCATCCCCTCCATCTCTGTCTCTCCTGTGGCCATGCATGCAGCTCCAATGTTATCTAACTTGCCCTCCATTATGTACCCACCCCACACCCAATAAGGACAGTCATGACAATGCAGCAGGCTTGGAGGAAGTGTGCCCTATAACCATAAAGCTGTGCTGAGGGCAAAGTAAATTATGTGGGTATTAGAACTTCCTGCCATTCAATGCTGCCGCCCAATGCGATTGGCCAGCTGTACTGGCAGTTCTGGGCACAACGACTACAGAGGCCCCCCACCAGAGCTCTGGAACCGCAGGGGCAGCATGAGAGGGGCTTTGGTTTTGAAGCATGTGAGGATAGGGAGGAAGTTGGGGCTACTACCTTTGACAGGGATGAAGTCCTAAATGTGTGAAGGAAATCTTCCAAGGATAGTATTTTTATAGTATTTATAAGAACTTTGTAAAATAAAAACCAGCTGCCCTCACTTTGCCTGTCGTCCAGATCATTATTGTGGCATTGGCAGTGTAATATTGTGGTCAGTTGAGCTTTTAACGAGTTGAATTGTTCCTTAATTATTTATTTACATGTGGCAGGACTGTGAATTTTGGAAACCCTCACCCCCATTTTATGGGGTGAACTCTGGTGCATACGAGGTGTTGGGCTAGACCCCTACCCTGAATGATATGTACCCGCCCCCACCACAGCACAGAAAACACCTAGCAGGGGTATGTAGTATACAGGCCACCGGGCCTGCTCTCTTCTCAGAGTCCCCGACCTGCTCCTTCACTGGTATCTGTTTGATTAGTAGACTAATATCCACTATGTAGTTTATCTCCGCTGTATATGTATAGTCTAATATCCAACTTGTTTTAGTTCACTCTTTGTTTCTGTAACTGTGACCTAGACCACATGAACACTTTTCATGGCTTAACGACACCTTACCAGAATTATCTTTCTTTTACTTTGTGTTTAAAAGCAGAAAACAGGCTTTTCCATGAAGCATGTATCATGTTAATAACAAGAATGAATTGTGAAAAATTGAGTTTGATTTTATGCTGTGGCCCAGCAGCCGATGACGAAACCATCTCTCGTTTGCCAATTGCCAGAGAAGGTTTTCATCCCATTAGTCTGGTCTGGTTTCAAACCTAGTTCTGAAACGTGGAATTAAATAACTAGCGTGTACCCCTCAGTTTCACTTTCATATCAGTGTTCCATTTCTGTGTTTAAATTCTAATCCATAGATGACTCCAATAAAACATGAATAACTTATGGATAAACAGAAATGAATGATTGAATAGTATTGGTGTAATTGTAAACCACTGCATATAAGTTCTTTCGGAAGTGGATCTGTGCATTTATATACATAATCAGTAGTTCTTCAGTTTTGTTAATAAGGGTCCATTAAATCATCAAAATAAAGATCTGTCCATGGAAAATAATTATATATGCATAATCAGATGCTACAACAGCAAGTTGTATTTATGTAGCATCTTTAGCAAAATACGACACTGAGCTACATATGGAAATATTAGGTCAAACATTTGGAGCATCATAGAGGAGGAAAAGTGGTGGAGAGGTGTAGGAAGAGTATTCTAGGCTGTAGAACCCAGGCAATTGAGGGCACAGCAACCAATGATGATGGAGCACTTGAATTGAAGATGCTCAAGAAGTCAGAATAAGAGAAATGCAGACCTCTCGGGCGGCTGTAAGAGTAGGGGAGAGTACAGAGGTAGGATTGGATGGGTGATGGGATTTAAAACAAGGATGCAAATTTTAAAATCAGGCATTGTTTGACCAGGAACCAATGTAGGTTAGCGCGTATAGGGAAGGGTAGGGGAACTTCTTAGAAGTAATGATATGGCAGTAGGGTTTTGGATAACCCCAAATGGTGGAATTTGGGAGGTGAGTAAACAGGCAACCTAGGCATGAATGAGGCTTTCAGCAGTGGATGAACTCGGGTGGATGGTCAGTGTCACGGAGGTAAAAATGATCATTCCTAATGATAGCACAGATGTTTGGTCAGAATATTATCCTGGGGTCAAATATGAATCCAAATTTGAGAAGAGCCTTGTTTTGTTTCAGGCTGTTGCCAAGGAGAGGGATAGAGTTGCGAGCTAGAGAACAGAGTTTGGAGTGGGGACTGAAATCAATGGCTTCCATCTTCCGATTACTTAATTGGATACTGTTGCACAGTACATCCAAAGCATAAATAATAAGAAAGTAAATTACTTTATTATGTTGTAAAAATGATCATAGAGTAAACCTAATGGAATGCAGCCTTTTTACCTGAAGAGAGATTGGATTTCAAATGTGAGGGTGCAATATTTGTGCTTGAGACCCCATTTGAGCTATTGGATTCAGTTTTGGGCATCACACTGCAGTAACGATACACTGTGCCATACTCTGTTGTACGAAGGCTATTCTCTGGATTCGTATTTCTGGCGCTGTGTCTTCAGGAAGACAAAAATCTCATAAAACCTAAATTGCTGCCGTGTTATAATGATACTTTAAAAAGATAATCAGCACTCCAAAATGTTCACTAATATAAGTGGAGCAAACTTTTTCATTGCATTCTTCTTTCTTCCAGTTTTCTTCCTATTAGAATTCCAAACTGGGTGGGTGTAAATACATCTGGAAGAACAAATCAAAATGTGTGATTAGAAAGGTAGTCCCAAACTGATAATTGTAATCTGTTTCTCGAGGAACATGATTTTCTCAGCTAAATCTTTGCTGCTGCAAACAACCTACTAAGATCAGGCAGCCAACATTATAGAGACTAGGAGTATGGTTTTAGATATTTTAAACAACCTGCTCAACATGTTATGAGACACCCGAACCTAGGGACACCACTGCAAGAGCTATATCACAGCCGTTTTACATGAAATCAAAATAAAGAACTGCCAATGCTGGAGAGTTGAAACAAAAACAGAAAGTGCTGGAGAAATTCAGCAGGTCTGACAGCATCTGTGGAGAGAAAAACAGAGCTAATGTTTCAAGTCCAGTGGACCCGAAACATTAACTCTGTTTTTCTTTCCACAGATACTGCCCGAGCAGCAGTTTTACAGTTTGATAAGGATGTACTTTCACTTGGTCTATCAAGTAGACCTCCTTGCATTTACTCTGCCATTGCATTATGTATGCAAAATACAGACCAACAAAGCAAAATAGTTTAGGAAGTTAGTATTTTCTTTGATTCCTTGCTATTCAAATCAACTAGGTTTGTTTTTAAAATGTGAGACCACTAGTACAAGCTGCTAATATGGAGAGAAATTTTCAATATTCAGAGAAAGGAAATACTTTAGATGGCCATACTAAAGTAACTGCATTTTGTTTTTCAACTTCTGATGATCTTGTTGTCAGCAGCTATTAATTGTTCAGTTACTAGGGCATGTAATTTTTTAAGCCTCAAGTAAATGAACCATTTGATGAAAGCACGAGGATCAAGGAACTAGTGATTACCTCATAAATGATACATGGTTCAGTTCGACATCAGTAACTGAACTTTCTAACATTTAAATGATGAAACCAAATTGGTTTCTCTTTGCAATTGAAATAATTCAAAAATTAAGCTATCCATCAACATTTGTTTTGAAATTGTGACTGATTATGGTTTTTTTTTGCAGATTTGCTTAGTTTTGTTTCTGCTTTTATTACTGGTGGTTCACTTTCGATAGGTTATTAAGACAAGTACTGCTCCACAATGTACAGTTACATCTGAGGTCCATTTATTATTCATGATTCCATGTTATGTTTTTACTCTTAGGAGAAAGTTACTGATGACATCCTGATGACTAACTGGGAGAAGCGGATATTTTTATCCCATGGTGCTTTGCTGGCGAAGAGTTGTCAAGGTGCAATGCAACTGGCGAATCATGACACGGAAGTTCAAGAAATGGCATTTCAGTATGGAAAACACATGTCTTTAGCTCACAAAGTAAGCAGCTTTCCACAATTTGATTAAGATAGATGAACTGGTACAAACATGAATATTTAAGTAAGGATGGAAATTGGTCAGAGTAGTGATTTTGGAATGCAACAGACTGTAAATAAGTTCACCCAAGTGCTTGTCTCTGGTGGAAGTTTGCAAGTCTGAATGTTCTTTTCAATACAGCATGTATTAATTTTAATAGTAATGTCTTCAAGCTGAAGCAGAATGACCCTCTCAATCATCATAGATGTTGAAATTTTCTCGGATGTTCAGCAACTCTCCCAAACAGAAACTGAGACCGCCAGAGGAAATTGTATTTAAAAGATTAGTTACAGTACAGATTGACACTAAAACCACAACTGGACAAAATCTCCCTCTAAGTGTATCTGTGACCGCAGTTAATTATTATTTATGCTATTAATATTCCCATGCTGTCACTCCAGTATAATCTACCTTACCCTCCGGGGCACAATGGAAAATGATTGGATTAACTCATTGTGCTTTCTGTGTAAGCTTCATCATCCCATCATGAGGAATATTCCTTTTGTATTTAAAGAAAAGTTCCAAAAGTAACCAATGAATATCCGATTGACTACATTTGCACATCATTGATCCACATAATAAACGTTTAACTTTTGGAGCCTTCCAATTCTTGTAATTGATGTTGATGCAAGATTGACTCAAGGAAATTTGTTCTCGAGCAGTTTCCGGGGAGGCACTGCATAGTGGTATTATCATTGGATTAATAATCCACAGTCCTAGCGTTTGAATCCCACCATGGAAGATGGTGAAAATTGATTTCGGTAAAAATCTAGAATCGTGATCATGTAGCCATTGCCAATTGTTGGAAAAACACATCTGGTTCACTGTTATCATACACTTGTACAGTGCAGCTTATCGGGTCTGCCATCCTTTAGGGAAGAAAATCTTAACTGGTCTGGCCTACATCTAACTCCAGACAGTTGACCCCTAACTATGCTCTATGCTCAGTTTAACCATAGTGCTACAAAATCTACATGAAGGTATGGAACTGGATAGACCACCCAACATCAACATAGGCAGCAGAACAGTAGCAAGTTCAGCCCTGTCAACAAAGTTTACTAAAATCTGGGGGTTTGTAAGAGCTGTCCTATAGGCCAGCCAAACAACAGCCTGGCACTGATTCAGTGGGTGTGGCTATGTCCCAGACAACACTATCGTCATCCCTGGGTGTGTCTTGTCCCACTGACAGACCAGACCCACCAGAGATGGTGCCACAATCAGGAAGGAAACTGCCTGCTGATTACCATCTACTGCTCGTTGACATCCCCTTCTGCTGGTGAATCAGTCCTCCTGCATGTTAGGAAGCACTGAGAGCACTTGGAGGAAGCACTGAGTGTGGCAAGGACATAGAATGTTACCTGGGTGGGTTATCTTGATGTCCGTCACCAAAGCTTGCTCAGCAGCATCCTACTGAGTGAGCTAGTAAAGACCTAAAAGACGTAGCTGCTCGTCTAGGTTTGCAGCAGGTGGTGAGGAAACCTACAAGATGGAAAAGTGTACATTACTACCTCCTCACCAGTCTGCTTATCACAGATGCATCTGTCAATGATTGTGCCAGGAGGAGTGACCAGTGTGCAGGCACTGTAGGCACAAAGTCTCACCTTCGTGTGGACGATATCCTTCATTGTGTCAAGTGGTGCTACCATTGTGTTAAACAGGACCAACTTAGAACCGATCCATCAACTTAAAACTGAGCATCTGTGAAGTGTTGTGGGACACCAGGATTAGCAGAGCTGTGTTCAACCACAATCTGTAACCTGATGGCCCACCATATACCTCACGCTACTATTACCATCAACCCTAGTTCAATAACGATTGCAGGAGAGCATGCAAGGAGCAACAGCAGAAATAATTAAAAATGAGGTCTGCACCTGGAGAAGCTACAACACAGCGTATTGTTTGGCATGAGCAAATAGACAGGGCTGACCAATCCCACAAACTGTGGATTAAATTTAAACTCAGCAATCCTGCCACATCCAATCATGAATGGTGGCGGAAAATTATACAACTGATGGAAAATGGACACCCCACAAATATCTGCATCTTCAATGAAGGAAGAGCCCAGCAAATCTGTACAAGGGATGAGATTAGAACATTTGTATCCACCTTCAGCATGAATTGTCAAGTGAATAATCCATCTCAGCCTCCTGAGGGCCCCTGCATCACAGATACTAGTCTTTCACCAAGTTGATTTACTCCATATGATATCTAGAAACAACTGAGGGCACTGGAAGCCGCAATATTTAAGCAATAATACTAAAGGCATGTGCTCCAGAAGTCACTATGCCCCTAGCCATGCTGTTCCAGTGCAGCCATAACAGTGTTTTTCACCCGGAATTTTGGAAAACTGTCCAGGAATGTCCTGTACACAAAAAGCAGGACAAATCCAACCCGGCCAATTATCGTCCCATCAGTCTACTCTTGATCATCAATAATGTGATGGAAGGTATCCTTAATAGCGCTATTAAACAGCGCTTGCAAAGGAATAACCTGCTCATTGACACTCAGTTTGGGTTCTCTCAGGGCCACTCGGCTCCGGACACCATTAAAATCTTGGTTCAAACATTGACAAAAGAATTGAATTCCACAGGTGAGCTGAGTGAAGTGACCTTTGACATCAAGGCTATATTTACCCGAGTGTGGCATCAAGGAAATTTCGTGAAACTGGAATCATTGGGAGTTTGGGGGATGAGTGGAACTCTTGCTATTTGAAGTCGTACCTCAACCATAAAGGAAAGTGATTGTTGTAAGTCAACCATCTCAGCCACTGGACATCACTTTGTGAGCTCCTCAGGGTCATGTCCTAGACCCAACCATCTTCCATTACCCTCAACATACACTTACGTCAGCACTGGCATGCTGAGGCAGCAGTTTTTACCATCTCCAAGATGCATTGCGGTAATTCATCCTGGCTCCTTTGACAGCAGATTCCAGACCCATGTGCTCTACCATCAAGAAGGACAAAGGCAGTAGATACTTAGAGCACCATCACTTGGAACTATATAACCATTCCTCACTGTCGCTTTTCTAACAGCGTTATACATAACCCTACACCCCAAGGACTGCAGTAGATCAATAAGGCAGCTCACCACCACCTTCTCCAGCGCAGTTAGGGATAGGCAGTAAATGTTGGCCTAGTCAGCTACACCACGTTCCATTAATGAATAGGGGGAGAAAAAGCACATTTTCCCTTTTCCCTCCTTCAGGAGATTTGGCAGGGTGTAAGTGAATTTAGTCTCCAAGAGTAACAAAAACAGTTAATTCTCTGATTCAATTTTAGGTCTCTTAGCTAAGAACCCAGTAAGTATAATTAATGAGATCAACCTTAAAAGCAGAACTGTCATGAAAGCATGGTAGATTGTGATCAAAAATGTTGTTTCTTTCTTGATATTTGAGGATAGATCTTTCCATATTCTCTAAGTATTGCTTCAGTAACCTGAGAATTCAGTGACAGATTCAGAGTTACAGCATTAGCTTTGTTTTGTCAATCGGTTGCACCGTCTCAAATGCAGTATAATTTTGCTGTAATTTAAGATGGCTGACTTGCCAGTTGCTTTTTAGTATCAGTGTGTTACTATAAGCAGCCTTTGAAGGAGTTGTGCCAGAATTGATGAGCAACCAGGCAATTTCTCCTATTACTTGACTTTGTTTATTCAAAGTAAAACTTATTGGGATGAAATACTGTCTAATCTTGTAATGATGTGAACAAATATGGTAATTTCTAACTAGTTATGTTCTTACACATGACTCTTTATTATACAGTGTCAGATTAATCACTTATTCTATTAGCATAATTTATTCCGGCATTGAGAATTCATGCTAATAAAATGTTCTGTCGCTTATATTTTGTTGGGTTTGTTAATTTACTTATTTTTCAGCTCCTACTTGTTATGGATCAGAGAATTAGAACTTAGAGTTGAAGCCATCCACTCCTCCATTAATCATCGAATCCCTTGTACTGTTAAGGATGCATGCTGAATGGTCAAAGCTCCTCTTAAGGCCAAGTGACGTTATGCACTTTGCGTTTACACAATATCCATCTGTAATTTATCATTCTATTTCGGATGTACCCCTACTGTGTTCCACTTTGCCCATTAGTGATATTTGTTTATAAGGACTGAATTCTATTTAGTAAATTATTGGCTACCTCCCATAAAGAGTTTCTGACAAGTATTACACTTTCTTGACTTCAAGGACAGCTTTCTATTTAAGCAAAGTAGCAGCTGTCGCAATATAGAGCAAGACTTTTTTTTCCGGACAAGCATGCTAAGTTGTGCTTGGCCTACCCTATTGGTACCAGGAATAATGGCCTAAATAAGTTTGTTCTGTTCCGTATGCAATGCACTTTAGCAGAAGAAAACTGTTTTAGATACTTTGAATAAACTAGAACAAATTCCGTCCTGCATTATGAGAACATTGTATGAATTTATTAGGTACAATATTACAAATTATACTAGTCTAATTCCCTTGGTGTAAATAAATACATAGTTTACATCTGGCTGCCTGAATGGAATTTCCTTATTTTGTTAGGTTTAGGAGAGAATAGTCTTGAGGATTGCCAATAGGCCTCAATTGAGCTCTTAACTTTGTAGTGTTTAACAAACATTTTTATTTTTTGTGCTTGATATGACTGCACACACTTAAAAGTTTTACTACCTGACATCGATTATATTGGGGGCCGCACAGGCTTATTCATAAAATATTGCTAATTGAATAAATAACAGATACTTACCAAGGATTAGCACCTTTGCTTTCACATGATTCTTGATCTATTAACAAGCAAAAGAACAAGAGTTGAGAAAAGCATTCTAAATCCACTTTTTTTAAACCCATCTCTAGTGAAAATCCATATTGCGCTTTATTATTTATAAAATTTCCAAATGGTTACAGCACAGAAAGAAACTATTTGGCCTACCATGTCCATGGAAGAATGACACACCTAGGCCTACACCCATGCCATTCTCCTACAGCCCCGCACTTTTTTATTAACATAATCATTCTCTTTGCCCTTGAAAGCTTCAGTTTAGTCTGTGTTCATCTGACCCTCCAGCAGAGCATTGAAATTCTAATTACTCACCGGATAAAGAGACTTTTCCCCGTGTCACCGTCATTTCCTTTGCCAAATACCTTAAATTGTTTCCCTCTGGTTCTCAGCCCTTCTCCTAACAGGGACAGTTTCTCCTTATAAATAAGAGAATATCTTCTCCAGTTCCTGTGTTCAGACTCTGCCTGACTTTGAACTTCTCCATCAGATATCTTAATATTCTCTTCTCTAAAGAGAACAGCCCCAATTTCTCCAGTTTGTCCATTTAACTCAAGTACTTCATCTCTGGAGCCATTCTTTGCTGCGCTCTCTCTAATGCTTTTACATTCAAGTGTGGTGTCCAAAATTGGACACAGTGCTTCAGTTGATGCTGATCCAGGAATTTATGTAGATTCATCATAATTTCCTTGCTCTTGCACTATTTATAAAGGTTAAAATCCTGTTTGCTTTTTGAGTCACTTTCTCAAATTGCCCTGCCACCTTTAGTGACTCGTGCACATATACACCCAGGTCTGTCTGCCCCACAATTCCCTTTAGAATTGTGCCCTTTGTTTTACCTTGCGTCTGCTCATTCTCCTTACAAAGTGAATCACTTCACACTTCTCCACATTAAATTTTATCTGGCAGTTTTCTGCAGATTCCATCAGCCTGTTCAGGCTTCCTCTTGAACTTTGTCACTACCCTTCACAGTTCTCAATACCTTTGAAGTTCTCTGTAATCTGCAAATATTGAAATTGTGTCCCATGCACCAAACTAGATAATTCATCTCGTTCAAAAAACAGAAAAAAATGTTGTCATGACTCTGGGAACATCCTTTATATCTTCCCACAGTCTGTATTCTGACAATCACTATGTTTCCACTGTCTCTTTTATTCCATGGGCCTCAACTTTGCTCACGAGGCTATTCTGTGGCACTTTGTCAAATACCTTTTAGAAGTCTATGTACACTACATCAACCACATAACACTCAGCTGTACTCACTGTTGCTTTATCAAAATAACTCCAAAATATCAGTTAAACTTGATTTGCCCTTAACAAGTATGTGCTGGCATTCATCAAAATTCCACATTTTCCAAGTGCTTGTTAATTTTGTTTCGAAATTATGATTTTGAAAAGCCTCCTCACCAGTGACTGGGCTTCTACTTCTACCATTTTAATTTACCCTTACAACCCTCAAAAATTCTTTGTTTCCCTTACCTGCTTCTCTTCTGATAACTAAATATGTTGAGAGCGTATACATTTTATAGAAATGGAGTACAGTTTGCCTGAAACATCATCTCCTTCAAAGTAAGCCTTTGCACTGAAACAAATTGGTTGATATTGTTATATGAGCAATCTAACACTGTTTGACTTCAATGCAAAAATAATGAATCACTTGCAATTTTGATTTAAGTGCAGACTCTATTACACCGTAAGAAAGAGCCTATTCATTCTTGTAAAGATTACAGAAGTGTTTTTCTGACTACCAATGGGAGCAGAATTTACTATTGCATGTTGTATTATATTTATAGTCTGATTGTTGGATGACTGTGCTTTCAAATTTTTAAGAAGAAATGAATGACAATTTACCACAAACCCTGTTGAAGTGCATCAGGTGTGCCTTATTGAGTCTGCTGACCATGTGGTTGTTAGCCTAATATTTCTAATCAATGAGTAATTTTTATAGATAGTTTAGCTTCTTAGCTCTGGTATGCATTTAGTAAGAGAACACAAAGGGTAAGTCTGTCTTACAAAAATGCATCCATTTACTACAAAATGTTGACAACTATCAGTCAAACAGTCTAGAATTCTGATTGTGCAGTTAATAAATAATGACGTGACAGGCTGACCCAATTTGCAATGCAAATAAGGTAATTGTACCACTAATCTCGTAAAATTGTACGATTAAGTTTCCACAGAAATTAATGGTGGGAGATATTAATTTTATAAGACTGGACATTTGAATGAGTAATAATTCATAAGCACTGAAATTGACTTTAAAGTACTCTGAAAATAATCAAACCAGGATAGGCTATAAATTGGAGATTGCAGATACAGGTGTCAAAAATGCCTGCGGGAAGTATTGGGAGGCACTTTGTCATTGTTGTGGTCACTGCATCTTGTCAGGCCTGAATTACCTGAAGGGCATGTTTGGCCTGCATGCAACCACAGGGGTAGGTGAGAGAAAAGTTGAAGTGCACCCTCCCATACAAAAGAATTGATCGACCTTGAACTGGAAGCTACTATATATAGACGTGATGCATATTCAAAATACTTGGGGATGGTGGGCAAATCAATCCTTGAAACATCACAAGTAGCTGCAGAAAAGGAGACAAGTGGGAAAAATTCAAAGAATGTCAGTCCTGTGTAATGTTACCAATGTGACGGTTCCTCCATTGTCTAGGACTGAACCGTTACAGAGGCAAGGCTCTTGAGAGGGAAAGCATGCAGGGTTTGATTAGAGGAGCAGTGAGCATGAGAGAGACCGAATCTGTGAAGTGTTCCTCCTTCAGTTGGAAATGTTACTGTCCCGTGCTGGGTATTCTGGCTTTATTAATCACAGATTCCCTAGCTGAACATCTCGCTGCTCCTTCAGAAATGGACTCTGATGAGAGGAGCAGCAAGAGTGGGAAGGAGGAATCTGTATGATTGGAGAAGCTGTAGCTGCAGCGTGTGTATGTGAGAGAGAGACAGGAGAGAAACAAGCCAAGATGGCAGCAGACCCGGTGCAAATAATGTGATTCTGGCTGTATCTGTCAGAGATGGAGAAAAGGAGGGAATGTGGGAAGGATGGAGAGATCAAGAGACAATGAGGTAAGAGAGGGCCAAGGACACATCTTGGGGTGAGCGTGTGAAAGAGAAAATATAGGCAACAGGCAACATTGCTTACTTTCACATAAATAAGTGAAATAAGCTGTGTACAATTCCCCATTTTTTAAAAAATAAAATCTTTATTTTTCCATCTAAAACTCCTTTCCACATCTGGCTTTCAACTGTACAATAGCAAATAGCCAAAGAAACAAATTCAAATTCTTTTCTCTATGTGTTCAATAATGTTTTGAGGTGGACAGAACTTATTTCCCATTCGTTCATGGGATGTGGGTCTCACTAGGCCCCCTAATTGCCTAGAGGACAGTTAAGAGTCAAACATGTTGCTGTGAGTCTGCAGTCACCTGTTGCGTCAGTCCAGGTAAGGATGGTAGATTTCCTTCCCTAAATGTCAGTTGTGACCCAGGTGGGTTTTTACATGGATCAACAATGGACATGGGCCAGATTTTACTGAATTCAAATTCCACCATCTGCCATTATGGGATTCGAAACCATGTGCCCAAAACATTGGCCGAGGGTTCTGGATTGCTAATCCAGTGACATTACCACTATGCCACTGTGTCCCTTACAGTTTATAGTAGGGTGGTAGGGTGGAGGGATAAAAAATATTGTGGGAGAAATGGAATTTTATTTCTTCAATTTTTTTTAATAGATTAATTTTAATTCATTTGTTCAAGTGATGTGGATCTTGCTGGCTAGGTCAGCATTTGTTGCCCTTGAGATGATGTTAGTGAGCTGTGTTCTCAAATTAGCTGTCTGTTGGGAGCAGGAGCACCATAGTGTTGTTAGGAAGGGAATTCCAGAATTTTGACCCAATTACAGTGAAACTACGGCAATGTAGTTCCATAGAAGTCAAGATTGTGTTTACCTTGGAGGGAAATTTATGTTGCTGCTGTACAAATATGTGCTGGTATACAAGTTTTCTTTGGCTGTCATTGTACTGTTTTCTCTTATTGTTAATACAAGTTTTGATGTGTGGAAAAAGTTAGGAGTTTAATTAATCCAGGCTTTGAGTTTGCTTAATATCAGCCACTGGAGGAAGAACGACAGTGAATGAAGGAAAACTGTTTAACTGTTGGATTCACGGCTACCTAGCCAACATTCCATTTCCATCATATATCCTTTAATGGGGATGCAGAATGAATGTACAAATTCCTGCTTCAAGAACAGTTAAGTTTCTAGCTTAAATCTTTAGATCGAAGGAGACCCTGGAAACCAAAAATCATCCCCACAAATTCTCTCTACCAATTTTCACTGACACAGTTATCTTGTTCACAATTATGGAATTCTTTCAGTTTGAATCCTTATTACCACGAAGTAGTGGTTTTGAGCTGCTGACTGACTGAAGTTTTGTTATATATTTCATTTTATTCTTGATGGATAATATTTTTGAAAAACTGTCATATTCACTCTTTTAAATCCTCACGATTTGCATTTTATTGTTATGACTTTGTAGCTGAACTCTGACCTTCAGCCATTTGTTGCGGAAACCTCCTGTGACACGATGCCTTTTTGTCTGAACTCTGCCCCAGTCATCTTACATCAGGAGGCTTCGGGTCGAGACGTTTGGATTAATCAACTTAAAAAGGTATGGTTCATGGGGCATTTTCAGGTTATGTTATCAAACTGTAAAGTGAAAGTTATGAACGCAGGTCTAATTAGAAAGTGGCAGCAGACCTTGCTGGAAGTCAAATCTGAAAATTCTATTTCAAATCTGAGACCAAACCTGCTAAAGCTTGAAGTTCTGGTTAGGAATTTAGCTGGCTCTTAACTTTTACTGTTTGTTTCCTTATTCACTCGATATATTGCTACAGGAATGTATTTCCCTTATCTTGAAGATTTAAAACGCGATGGTAGGGGACATTGAACAATATGCAGTCCCTTTAGAATCTTTCAAACATTAGACTCGTTCAGACTAACCCACTCACTCATTCAATTTTCTCCGTTCCATAAGGCGCTGACTCTTAAATGTGGATCAGTAACATGGGCAACAGGTGGGTTTGCTGAAATGACCACTCATCACTTGAGAACCTAGAGAGTAAGTGGTAAACAGGCTGTTTGACTGCGAGGAGCCTCACGATGGAGTTCCTTAACAAACACTTTAAAAGTCAATCAGGAACAGGAAATCTGCCTGATTTTTCTTTATATTAACCTCAGTAATATCATGCCATTTGGTAATATGTGGAAACTTTGGAGTCGGTGTTATGCCTGTGTATGCACAAAATTGTGCAAGGATGGTTGTGGCTAAGTCATTCCCCAGGATGCATGGGTTTAAAGAAACTGGAAAATAGGGGGCAAATGAGAAATAATTTTTCACAGCAAGTTACGGTTAGAAATGTACTGCTTGAAAGTGCAATTGAAGCAGATTAAGTAGTTACATAAATCCATGAATGCATGAAAATTACAAGCCAATGGGGAAAGAGCAAAGGTTCAGACTAATTGGATAACTCTTTCAAGGAGTCTGCACAGCCATGATGGCTGAATGGCCTCCTCCTGTGCTGTGTCATTCTGTGATTAAATCTGAATATGTCCCAGCTGACATCAGGTAATTATCCACACCCTGACCCTCATAAATTTTCAATCCTTATTGATGTAACTTCCTTAACATATTAAATGATCCAATCAAAACTTTATCAAACAAGGCTTGCTGCAATAGTAACAAATAATTGAAGGGTCGTCCCTGAACCAAATTTCAACATTGTCCCATTATTGAAACCAAAAGGAACTTGGATCTTGTTTCCTTTGGTTTTCACTGATGTTTCAAACTTGTTATTTAAAAAATCTTACTCTCAAAATGGAAGTCAAAATGTAGACAAGATGTCTACTTTTGAATCCCTTTGAAGGGGACAAAGTATGTTGACATGTTAATATATTGATTTGAACAGCCTTCAAGAAAAGGGCTACTTACTGCCACTCGGAAAATCAATTAAATTAGGAGCATTTTGCTCCAGGTGTGAATGGGGTGCAGTTAATGTGTATTGCAGTTGAAATGTTGTCACAGTTGCCCAGGCATAGGCTACATTCATTTAGAATACTCCTAAATGTCCACTTACCTGTGTTTATAGCTAGCTTGTCAATATTGTGGTACTGACTAAACTGATTTGAAAGCCAAAAGTTTACCGCATGTTGTAGAAATGATCAGGTGCTCAGTAAGGAGATTATCAGTCAAGACCCAGACCATGTTCTTGAGGAGCTGGACTGACATCCTCTATCCCTTTTCACTGTCAGCTCAGAATCTCTGAAGATGCTGGGGATGTAGCTCACAAGGGCTGAGATGTGTACTAAGAAATGGAAGGAGTGGATAAGAACTTGGTCATCAAAGATGAGGTGCTCTTGGTGTTGCTGTTTGTGACACAGGTCTGGCCCATCCTTCACTCCTGCCTTGTGGTGACCACCAGAAGCATCGTCTGCTTTATCTGGTGGTCAGTGATGGGTTGCGTTCGCAAGGACATGATGTATAAACCCCTAGATAAAGGAAGAGACAATGCATCCGACATAACCCTCATTTTAATGGCCACCTTTGTCTACAGCTGCTTTAAGCTGTCAGTATACAAACACAGAGTACGTGTCTGACCCAGTGAAATGAAGAATATGTCTGACCCATTGCTATGGACCACTCCAAGTGGTAAGACCATGCTATATCAGCTGTCCCTTTTGCAGAAAAACTTCTTTGATCACAAGTCTATCCAGTGGTCAGTGTGTATAATCCTCAAGGCCTTGTGGAAAAAGGAGATGGTAGATCCTTTATAATGGCTCTTCAAACAGACTGTCAAAGTAATTTGGTAGAATGAATCACCACCAGGACTTGCAAACAAGCACCAAAGTGTAGCTTGGCTGGTGATTAGAAAGGTCCTTCTCATTAGATCCTTCCAACATGCTTGGACTCTCCTCTATAGATTGCCGTCCAGGTGACTGTGGGGTGGGGTGAAAAGACTGTTGTCCATGCCCTTGTGGAATTAATATTTGCAAAGAAGGTCTGTAAAGAAATGCAGTGGGTTTTGTTGAACTTCATTCCAAACTGCTTTGTGACACGAGGCTTTGTGCTCTACAGACTGTACCCAGGGATGCCCACTGAGACAACCATCAATGGCACCTGGGCTTTCATTGATTCAGTGAAAGATTCAATTTGTCTGCTCAAGATCTGATTGCAAAGCATTTCCTTGACTGAGTTTTGCAGTCTGGCATGCTCCAAGGTGTTACACACTGACCACTGTCTGACAGACTTGTGATCAAAGATGGTTTTCTGTGTAATACGACAGGTGATACAGCATGGTCTTAACACTTGGAGTGGTTCGACATATCCTTCCTAACAGTGGTGCAAGACGACCTGCTGATGGACAGGCTGAAGTTTGGTGCAGTTGCTGCAGACGAACATCAGAAAGGTTCACCGCAAGGCCTCTTGGCCATAGTACACCGAGGGGCTGGACGCTATAGAACCCTTTGGGCTGTGTGCTTACAAAGAATGAATGTTGTGAATCAGGAGTATTGAAAATATAGTTTTCATTAATTTGTGGGATGTGAACATCACTAGCTTGGACTTCATTTATTACCCATCTGTAGCTGCCCTTGAGAATGTCATCATCAGCTGTAGTCCATTTTATATAAGTACCCCGACAATACCATTAAGGAGGATGTTCCAGGATTTTGACACAGCGACACTGAAGGAATGACATTTGGATGGTGAGAGGCTTGGATGGGAACTTGCAGTTGCATTTGTAAATAGTACATACCGCTGCTACTGAGCACTGATTGGACAGAGTGAACATTTGGAGTTGTGAGCAGTTTGCTTTGTCCTGGCTGGTGTCTAATTTGACTGCCATCCAGGCAGGTGGGGAGTATTCTATCACAGTCCTGACTTGTGCCTTGTCAATGATGGACAGGCTTTGGGGAGTTATTCCCCGTAGTATTCTGACCTGTTCTTATCACCACAGTTATTTATTTGAGTGGTCTAATTTAAGTTTTAGTCAATGGTAAGTCCCCAGGACTTTGATCGTGGGGGATTCAACAATGGTACTTCCATTGAATGTTAAGGGATTCTGTCTTATTGAAGAAGGTAATTACCTTGCACTTGTATTGCATGACCTGACTTGCCACTTGTTAGCCCAAACCTGGTCAAGATCTTGCTGCATATGCACATAGACTGCTTCAGCACCCGAAGAGTTATGAATGGTACTGAATGTTGTGCAATCATCAGTGAGCATTATAACTGCTGATCTTATATTGGAGGGAAGGTTGTTAAAGCAGCTGGAAATGGTTGGGGCGAGGATACTCCCCAGAAATGTCCTGGAGCTGAAATGTCTGATCTTCTCCAACCACAAACATCATCCATTGTTCCAGGTATTGAGACATCTCGGAGTGAATTTTATATCAATTGTACTTTCTGTAATTTCCAATTTGAAATGTTTTGGCCTTGGGCTAAATACTTAATATGGAACGGATTTTGCAAATATTAAGTCTATTACAAACGTGTTACACGGAAAATGATATGAGACAGGATGAATTTTATTGCAAATTCTGTAATATTAAATCAAAATGTTTTGTATTGTATTTTTACAGATTTTATAAAAATGCTATTTTTCAAGAATAAAAGTTATGGTTTCAGGAAATCAGTGTCTACCTAACTCAGAATCAGTCTTTTTATGTCAGTCACTTTTTCTTGTAAGAATGTCTATTAACACCAATACAAAGCATAATATTGTCTTGTGACTCAAATGGATTGCACCACCACCTTCTCAAGAACAACTAGAGATGGGCCATAAATGCTGACCCAGCCAGCGATGCTTGCATCCCATGAATTATTTTTTATAGGGAAAATTATTTACACTGATCTTTGCATCTGTTGCTGGAGGACATAAATTTAAGATGATCACTAAAATGAAGAAGATTAGAGGGCATGGAATATTTTGCCAGAATCGGTGGCTTAAATCAAGAAATCAAAATCTGGGGAAAGATGGGGCTAAATGGATATCCCTCTGGGAGAGCTGGCACAGTTTCATTGTGTCAAATGGCAGACTCTGCTGCTGCAAAATTCTATGGTATAGAAAGTGCTGAGTTGTAAAAGTGGAGAAGTAGTTTGAAATTGCAGCATATGTGGAAATGTAGCGGAATTTTCGAAACTGGTTTATTTAGATTGTTCTATTTGAATTTATTTGCGAGACTGCTTAATGTTTAGTCTTATTTCAAGCAATGGTCAACCTTGCTATATGTAGCAAAGATAATAAAACTAGTGTGTGCTTCAGAGATAGCAGGAACTGCAGATGCTGGAGAATCTGAGATAACAAGGTGTAGAGCTGGATGAACACAGCAGGCCAAGCAGCATCAGAGGAGCAGGAAGGCTGACGTTTCAGGCCTAGACCCTTCTTCAGAAATGGGGGGAGGGGAAGGGGGTTCTGAAATAAATAGGGAGAGAGGGGTAGGTGGATAGAAGATGCATAGAGGAGAAGATCGGTGGAGAGGAGACAGACAGGTCAAAGGGGCGGGGATGGAGCCAGGAAAGGTGAGTGTAGGTGGGGAGTTAGGGAGGAGATAGGTCAGTCCAGGGAGGACGGACAGGTCAAGGGGGTGGAATGAGGTTCGTAGGTAGGAGAT